TGGTAGGTTAAGAGAGGTCTTCCTGCCTCTCTACTCTGCCCTGGTGAGGCCACATCTGGAATATTGTGTCCAGCTCTGAGCCTCTCAGTTCAAGAAGGACAGGGAACTGCTTGAAAGTCCAGTGTAGACTCACAAAGATGATCAACTGACTGGAACATCTCCCTTATGAGGAAAGGCTGAAGGAGCTGGGTCTCTTTAGCTTGAAGAAGAGGCTGAGGGCTGACCTCATTCATGTCTATAAAGGGTAAAGGGTGAGGAGGATGGAGCCAGGCTCTTTTCAGTGATGTCCAATGATAGGACAAGGGGCAAGAGGTGCAAGCTGAAGCATAGGAGGTTCCATGCAAACATAAGTAAAACTTTTTTTGCTGTTGAGGGTGACAGAGCACTGGCACAGGCTGCCCAGAGAGGCTGTGGAGCCTCCTCCTCTGGAGACGTTCAAAACTTGCCTCAACATATTCCAGTGTGACCTGCTCTAGGGGATCCTGCTCTGGCAGAAGGGGTTGGACTAGATGATTTTTCAAGGTCCCTTCCAACCCCTGACATTCTGTGATTCTGTGATCATACCCAGGGCCTCTTATGCAAACCCACTTTTCAGCTGGGCAGCCCCCAGCACACGCCACAGGGTGGGTTGCTCCACCCCAGAGGCAGGATGTGGCATCTCCCTTTGCTCACCTTCACAAAATTTCCACTAGCCCACTTCTCCAGCCTGGTGCAGTTCCTCTGACACTGCCCTCCAGCACCCAGCAAATACATTGGTACTGGTCCCTGTACCCATCCCCAGGGTACACCCTCAGTACCAAGCTGACAGCTGGGCTAGACCACCACTGGCCACCTCTTCTCCACCCACCTTGTCTAAACCAATGGGCCCCTGACATTTTTCATCATCTTGGGTTTGAGATGAGATGAGATGGGGACAGGCTCCGGGGGCAGGGGGGGGCCACTGACCACTTATTCAGGCCCTTCCAGCCTAGGCCATTCTATGATTCTATTTTCTCTATCAAAGAGGAGTGAAAGCACTGGGGATAGAACAGTAGGCTCCATACTGCATCAACAAAAAAACCCAGGAAAACTAAGAGGGTCCACATATGAGAAAGTAACCACAGAGAAATTAACAAAAACCTTTCCCTTTAAGCATAAAGGAGAATAAACAAGGCTGTGGAGTTTCCCCCAGTAGTAGCTGTCTCCCATCAAGGATCATAAATTCTTTTATTTTACCCTTCTTGCTAACTTCTCCTAGATGCTCCTTCCACAATGAATGACTCTCTGGAGCTGTTTGCATTCCATCTTATCTTGGGACAAGTAGTTGTGTCACTCCAAGACAGCACAGCTCTACTCCTATGAGGCTAGAGCAGCCCACGGGGGATGCCTGCGGTCCATTCCACTGCCATGATCTCATTTACGTTCGCAAACCTGGCATCCCGCTATCTAGAGCTCTAAATCTCCAGTTAAAAAAAAAAAAAATTGTTGAAATGACAAAACGGGTGAATTCTCCAAACGTTACCTTCTCTTTCTCGTTGCACAGTCCTGAAAGGAAAGAAGCTAAGTCTTCCCATGCCTGTTTGAAGACATTTCCACAAGACAACACAAGAAATCCCAAGGACGATGCTCTGAAGATCACAGCTCTTCTTTCCTGGCCCTTTTGACTGATGGCTCAGCCGAGTTTCACTTCAGTGCCAGGAAGACAAGGCCTGGAAAGCTGATGTGCTTTTCATCCATGAGACTCTCCCTCCATTGTATTTTTTTAAAAAATTTTTTTTCTCCTCTCTTGAATTTGGTGCTAGTTAAGTAGTGCTGGCCAATACCAAAGTAGTGCAAATTCTTCTCTCCCAGCTCTTCCCAGCATCTACCTCCAAAACACACCTCTACCTTGACCCTGAGGCAGCACAAGGAGTATAAACGAAATTGTCACTGCCCTCAGTCCCGCAGCCCTTTAACAAGCACCTTTCATAAAGGGAACGTGGTACCGGTAACTCTGATATTGTTATCAGAGTCCACTGACCCCTTCCACATGTGGCCACAGCCAACATAGCACACACTACGAACTGTTACTTTTAACTCTGCATGAACATCCTTCTGAAAGTTTTAACCCTGCCTGACCCTCCTTTTCAGGTGCTGTAACATTCAGGAAAAATATATTCCCTCTCAATGATGGGAAATTGTAATTCCCCAAGTATTCAAACATCCTCTCCCCTCACTCACTTGCAGTGACAGTTCCTCTTTTTCCACTGATGGGGATCATTTCAATTAAAATTCAGTGGGTTGCCAACAGGTGTTTCCAACTCCTTGAATTTGACTTTTTTTTTTTTTTTAAAGAACTGGGAAGAATGGGGACAAAGACAGTTTTATACTCCAAAAATAAAGACAAAGTTGACAATTTATTGACAACAGTGTTTTTATTTATACCTACAAAAGAAAACAAGATGGTATCAAAAGGACAATTTACAAACTAAGAATAGTAACATAGCTCTCAGTATCCTGTGTCTGAACACCACAGATCTATAGATCTCTCAATTCAAGTCTTCGTTAATACAACAGGAATGTGTTCAGAGACCAGCAGGTGTGTGAAACGACGCTGATCCCACACAAAGCCACTAAACCCTTCCACTGCTCAGAGAAGTCCAAACAGCAAACTGCTTCAAGGAAGTGGGTGGGGAGGAGACACCCAACTCAACTGACACTCCCACAAGCTTTTTAACAGGTTGAAAACCAACACAAACAATACTGGACGCTGATGCTTTTCTATCAACGCAGGCCCTCCAGCTGGGATATGGAACAGAGCAGCGAGCACCAGGTGGGACAGGGGCAGCACGTGCCGCGGTGCGTTTACGCGTTCAGCGGTCTGGTTAAACGCTCTGAACCCAACCAAGCCCCTGCATTTCAGTTGACCTCGGTGGCAATGAAGCACTGCGAGGCTTGGCATGGGCGCTTACGTGTGCGCAAGTCGCCGCCCTCCCCCAAAAAAGTGAAAACTACAGCAGACTACAAGGCAGCTTTGGCGGCCCAGAGACCCTTTGTAAAGCCAGTCAGTGAGACGTCCTACTCCTACACCCTTCAAAAAGCATTTCTGCATTAAACTTGCAATTTTTTTTTTTAAAAACAAAACAAACAAAAAAAAATAAGCTCTGCATTTGCTTGTGAGGGAGGCCAAAGACAGATCAGTCAGTGCCCAGATAAACAAAATGTTTCTGGCTTTCACTTAACACAAGCAAAGGAACTTCCTGCCCAAGCAGTGGAATTAGAAGATGGGACAAGGGAACTGATGTTCTGGAAGATCTCTCCCTGTTCCCTCTGTGTCAGCAAACCTACCTGTGTACTGCACAAAATAATAAAAAAAAGTAAACACATATTCATCCCCAAAAATTTTACTCTGGGAACAAGTTAAATGTAAAAAAAAAAAAAAAAAATTTATGCAAAATCAAGGTCTTTTCTTGGGCTATAAGAAGTTCCACTCTGTTACACAAGCTGTGGGCTGCCTTGTTCATCCGTATGCAAGAATGTCAACAGAAGAAAAATTAAAAAAAACTAAACCCAAAATGCTGCACTCTCATAATGCAAAGATTATGCCTCACAAGCCAGGAGATGCATCCATTCTTCTGTCGTATTATCAGATCAAGAGCAGCCAACTCCCATTATCATCTACTGTCTCTGAACCGTCCGGTATTAGAAATAACAAGTCAACAACATGCTTTACTAAAGGGGAAATCCCCTCACACCCACCTTAGCCTGTAAAATAAACAAGTTTTATTTACGTATTTACTAAAATTTCACTCTTCTCTAACATTTTCTAAAATGCTACCTACCTGCCAGAGCTCAGCTCAAAGGGACCAATGGAGCAGGGAAATGCACTCAAAAGCCAGAAAAAAGCAATAGTCAGAGCAAGGTACAAAGGAAATAAAGCTTCAGAATCAAGATGCGCTAACCAGCTCACTGCTTACCTCATGAAAAGGAGATTCCAGGCAATCTCCTCCTCCTCCCTTCTTCCCCCCATCCTTCCCCGCCAGCCCACCCCTATATGAACCTCTGAAATTAAGTGTGGAAAACTCTGTCACATTTTATTCAGTGTAGGGGCATTCAGAACATTCCCGGGCTAACAATGTAGTTTATTTCTGAAAGACACACAGATGAGATACGCTGTTCATCGCCTTGGTTGTTGAGTTTCTTGGCTCTCAAATAAGACTTCTCTCAATAAACCCGACAGCATGAATTGGAGAGCAGAAACTAATTTAAGGATAACCAGGCTCCGCACGTTTGCGATGCTGCAATTTTAAGACCATGGCGAAAGAACCGACTTGGTTCAATGCTACCGCAGCGGTACCTGCAGCAACTACATGTATTTCAGGTATTGAACCCAAGATAGGTTTGGTCTCTGACACTGAGGTTTTAAATCCCAGCCTTCCTACTGTGGGCTGCTACAGGTACCAGGAGACGGGGCCGCTGCTTCCACAGCTGCAGAAAATTCCAACAATGTACCTGGGGCATTACTCTGAACACCGCCCAGCTCTGACAAATGAGCAGAGTTTTCCTCTAAAAAGTCACCTACAATAGATTACAAGCAATTAATAGTGAGCTATTTAAAAAAAAAAAAAAAATATTAGAAGTGAGCATTGCTCCCTTGCATTTATCATTCTAAATGAAGTGCTTTTTGGCTCCCCGAAGTTTCCCACCTCTCTTGATACTTCCTGAAATTAAGTTAACATGTTACAGATTAGAAACTTCCTCCTCTCAAAAGCAAGTTTTCACACAAACCTTAGACACCAAGATGATCGAGCTGGGACCTATCTGCCTTATACCAATTTCTTATAGAGAAAATAAAATTTCCCATTTCCTCGACATGCAAGACAAAAAATAATAAATTTTCCAGTCAACTATATATATCTCTTAAAAAAAAAAAAAAAAGAGAAAAAAAAGAAAAAAAAAAACAGGACAGGGTCAATAATGTGGACTGGGGGCCATTTTTAATGGGCTCAAGTGACTCAAAAGGTGAATTCTAAGTCTAACCTGCATGAGACAGACACCACAATGGGAAAGAAGAGAAAGAAAAGGTTCCTTTAAATGCAAGAGGTCTACACTGGTCACCAGCAGGGTG